TGGATCACGGAAGGCCGGAAGCGTAGAAGAAGAAAAAAAAACTGCTAGAGCAACCTGAAATCCTTCATTCATTCAGTTACCTTCTTACAGTTGTTGGTTTCTGGAAGTGACAACAGAAAATGCAACTTGAAAACAAGAACAGAAGTTAAATGTTTGTGCATTTTTGTTTGTAAATGAATACCACCTTTGGGTATTTTAGTCCTCGTGGGGAAATTAGTTTTGGACGGAGRGCTGACCTGGTAGCTTTCGACACAAAGAGCTGTACATAAAGGGACTATTAAAGCAGTTTTACACAATACAGACGTGATCCACCCTGCATGGTTCACATTTTCTAAAACAATTCTGTGTTGCACAGATGAACTTCAGACAAAACCTTGAGAAAGACGGAATCCACAAATCCCCCCAAACGTTCTGATAATGTGTTTTTCACTGGAGTTTAAATCTGAACCTTGAAAGAAGCCCMCACTCCTGGTTAATTTGGCAACATAAACTGAAATTTGATTTCAGTCCAGGCTTATAAACGTGATAGTCTGGTTTATGTTGTATGTCATGTGGCAATATACTTTTCCATCAAACAGCAACAGTACAGCAGGAATTGATTAGTTTGGTGCTTAGCTAAAGGTGTACAGCCTTTAAATGTGCAGCAARGAGCTTTTCATTTGACATAAACATCAGATCTGCCAGCTTGTACTCATTTTGACTTTTAAAATGTATTGATGTGCTTTCACTCTTTGGAGAAAAACAACTCTGTAGAAGTGTCATTGCAGTACAAAAGAGGCAGGATGCACAAATCAAGACGAGCTCTGGAAGGTTTTTACTCCCATAGTGACTTTAGTTGCATAGTTTCTTCAACAAGGAGGACTTTTTCACCTGTTTAAAAAATGGTAATTTATTTTGAAGTGTGAGAGAAATTAGGCTTGTAAAATTGAACTTAAATTAAAGCTYGCTTGTCAAGACTATAAAGTAGTAAATTTTTCAAATAATGAGGCCTGATATGAAGCAAAGAACACTGGGCAAAAAGAACAAGGTATTTTTAAGCTTTTTTATTATAGCTAAAGAGAGATTTGCATATAGGTGATTATTATTTCAATAAACTATGGCAGCTTGGAAGCATCGTATAAAGAAATGGTTTGTTTCAAGATGTTTGCACAGTGCTATATGTTCATTGTAAATATCCAATGAGAAGGAGAAACAAACCAGTTTGTATAACCTGGATGAGGTTTAAAGATGCTATAAAAGTTTGAGTTGTTTAAAGTTTTTCTCAGATTTGGCTGCCTCTCATAACCTTTACGTCAGGAAAGGCATAAAACGGGGGAGGGGGGCACAAAATAAATAAAAGTCCTCATTCCTTTCTGGACTGTGTTTTGAGTTTCCAGCCTTAATGAAAGTTCAGAATGTTTCAAGGACCACAAGCTTGTTGTCTCACCTGACCTCCACCTCAGACCCCCTCTCTAAAACTGGCTGCGGTCTAAAAACCTCCATCAGCAGCTTAATGTCAAGGGCAGATGCTTTCTGCTGCTTGACTGACGGCTCCTGCAGAGTTTTATCCACCAGGAGAAGCACACATCTTGTTTGGCTGACATAAATAATGTGTATGTGTAATATAAAATTCCCCAAAAACACTAATAAGAGACATATGTTGATCAGAAGTCACAGTTTGAAGTCTTGTGTGTCTGTTTTTGTACTGGTTGTGTTGTTAGTGTGATGAGGGGACTTTCCATTGCTGAATAACTTGAGTATTTCTGCCACATCTGTGTTATTATGAATGCATCAAATCCCTTTTTGTTCCAGGTGTGTCTAAACTACCGGACCACACCAGAAATGTTTAACTGCTAAATCCAAACAAACCTTTTTCTTTTAACTTCAGTRGGGATCTGTGGTTAAGACTTTAGATTTAATCCCTTCAGAACGAATTGTAGTTGTGTCTGAAATTGGGACTTGAGGATGAATGAAATGGATTTGCAAATTATTTCAACCTGATGTTTAAATTCAAATGAAGCACAGAAGTCCTCTTTAGTAAAATGCCTTTAACACTGCTTTTCAGTTTTCTTCAAACAWGCTAAGCTAACCATGAGTCAAATTTTGGGGCAGATGAGAAACTGACCGCTCCCCCCCCCTCCTGTCACTTTTCCAACACAGATCATGTTCAGAACGAAGAAAACTACGCCCAGGCTTTGGATAAATTTGGAAGCAACTTCATCAGCCGGGATAACCCTGATCTGGGAACAGCCTTTGTGAAGTTCTCCTCCCTCACCAAGGAGCTGTCCGCTCTTTTGAAGAACCTGGTGAGTCCGGCGTGTCGGCGAGTCCCAGTAAACTCAATCAGTTAGAGCTGCAGAGCCAGTCCTGCTGAGTGCTTCTGCCTCACTCTGACAGGAGGAGGAAAAATGTCTTGCTCTTCCTGTCTTCACCTGCACAAGTGCTCCAGGATTTGGGTTAAAGGTTGAGATTAGGATTATATGAATTGAAAGGTCAAGTGGGGTTGTAAACTGACTCASACTTCAGTCTGTGAGATTGAGACTACCTTTCAAGTCACTGATTGGTGGGCCTGATGGATAGAGCTTCATCAGAGCTAAACAACAAAAGAAATCTGAAGCTTCTATGTTTAACAGTTTTTGAGTTATAAGCATTTTTTGCATGTCCAGACAACCTCTCTTTGAAAGGAGCCCCCTTCTCAAATATGGGGTCTATCGTAAAACCATTGGCTGGCGCAGTGTAGGTCAGACTCATCTACAGCCCTGCCAAATTTCATGTTTATTGGTGCAGCTGTTTTTGTGCTACGGTTGACCAAAAATCTCCGGAGGGAAAAAAAACGGTACGAAAACAATATGACTCTCTTTTACACTTCGTGTGCGGGGGTCATAATGAATTAATTAAAAGCAGATTGGAGTGCAGCAAAATCAACTTTTCAGTAGAAGTCACTAGATAGATGTGGAAAAAGCTAAGAGTCTGGTTATTTAAAGACAAAGAATTGGTATTGTTGCCAGTATTTGTTATTATAAGATTTTACTTTGTCTGTGATAAATTTGCCCTAATAATAAATAGAAAGTCTCCATCTACATCAAACACTGGGGGGACAAATTTGTAAACAAATTAGTATAATTCTTGAACTGAAGTCAGGGGCCACACAAAATCAGTTCAGGGACCACAAATGGCCCCCGGGCCACACTCTGGACACCCCTGGTCTAAGCAGTTCATTGTGGAGATGATTTGCTTCAGTTCTGTCTGTTTAACTCTTCATTTCTAGCAGTTTTATTGAGTTTTTAGACTTCCATAGCTGCACCCCGAGGGCAAATGATTTGACAAATTAGTATCGATTACTAAGAGTGTGCCCTTGATGGTCCTATAGGAGCTATCAGCTGTAACACAGAATTTAACCAACAGATCCCTGCAACTTTTTTTCTGTTCATTCCCTCCCTGTGAATCGTTCTGTTTGAAAAAGCTAAATAAATAAATAAATAAATAAATAAATAATGACTGACTGTTTCCAAGACAAGCTGTTGGTGCACACCAGCAGGCGCCCATTGAAAGATTGATTTTGATGTTATCCATATGCAAGACAGGCTCTTAAGAAGTACATTAGTGCCCATTAGGAGCTGTTTACTTTCTTGACCGCGGCTGCTGTGTATCAGTGCGGACCTGGCTCACAACAACAGGGACTTAAATGCTTAGTCCTGTTTTAAATGAACTTGCTGATCCTTCCGGTTAGAGCTGCTGAGCAAATGTGAGGCATCAGGAASTGCAGGACGTATAAATTTTTTACAAATTCTTATATAAAGTTGGCAGAGGCTTGCTTTTTGGTTTTGTCTTTTATTTCTAGTTGGCAGGAGTGTGTTGAACTTCTGCACAAAGCAACAACTCTTTGCTGTTTTTTTAATATACGGTATATATAATAAAGTCAATCAAGTTAAAGTCAATTTATTGTCAAATTTGCTTAATGCGCAGGATATACACACAGGATTTAAATTACGTTACTATTAGGGGTGCTCCAAGAAATCCATTTACATCAGATTTGTGATTCTCATTTACAATGATTCAGAATCMATTTAAAATGTCCCAAAATCTATTAAAAAAATTAAAAAACAGAGTAAATCTAATGGCTGCCAGCTTCAGTTTTGTTACTACGTAAGACGTCCTGGTGTCTCCAAAAGCACCAAAGCACCAAAACAAATAGGAAACTACAAAAATGGAGGAAAGGGAGATTCAACCATCCCCGTCTTCATTGAAYATGGTTTTTACTGAATCCAAGTTTGAAATGAGCTTCACTGAATGTAATCAGTARGCTGAATCTAACCGAATCATGAGATGGTAAAAGATTCTCACCCCTAGTAACTATCAGACCCTGGTGCAATAAACATCAAAAGTAGAGAGTTAGTAAAACATTAAGCATAAAATAGAAATAAATTGCTAAACTAATTAGAAATAGAAATGTAACAGGAAGTTTGTGCATAAAGATTCCCTGTTTTAGCACCAGAATTAAAGTGACATATGCAGTTATGATAACAGTGTATGTACACAATGTATTTCTGATTTAGGCATAAAAGTGCAGTGTATGTCTGTATTGTATAAATGCAGTGGGTTAACATTAATGAGTTTGACTAGTGCAAATATAAACAGTAGTGCAAATTGAATGAACACATATAAGGTGATTTAATGCAGATTCAGTTCTTGGATAAGCCCAGTTTGTTGTTGTAGATTGTTTATTTAATGCTCTACACAAACCAAAGTTCAAGTGTTGAGAGGGTAGGAAGCAAGGGTAGGCAGAGCAGAGAGAGCTTCCTGACTGACAGATGGARGACGCTGTCCCTCAGTCTGCATTTATTTCTTAAATGGATCCATGATTAGTTGTAACATTAGACTTTATTTAATAAACATATACTTTAACTGTAAACTAAAGACTGTAAAAATACTGTAGGATGTTCATTTTTTTACATTTTTTAACTAAAAGTTTAAAAGTATTTTACACGGACGGGGCCATTTTATTTTCACGCAACGCATTCTGGGTAAATGATGACGTGGATAGGTCATCGGTGCAAGGCTGCTAGTGAGCTATATCCACCCTGAAGGTTAATCTTGGACAATATCTGACGATTGACTCTTTTAAATGAAACCAGAGAGCGTTGACAGAGAGGAGAAGGTAGAAATGGCTCAGCCTGTAACTGAAAATATAGATGGAGGACAACAGAGCTGCTTCATGGAAGAAGAACCTCAGCTTTGCCTGTTAGCTTTAGCATTAGCCCTGACGCCATCACCATATATATGTATTAGCTCAGCGCTATACATTCTCCTCGTCACTGAGGTCCTCCATCTACATGACAGAGAGGGGAACACAAAAATGACTCAGTCTGCAACTGAAAATATGGATGAAGGACCTCAGTTTAGCTTGTTAGTTTGTTGCGCTAGCGCCAAGCTAATACATATAAGGCAATATAGCATTGGCGCTAGCACGAAGGCTAACAAGCTAAGCTGAGGTTCTTCTTCCATGAAGCAGCTCTGTTGTCCTCCATCTATATTTTCAGTTACAGTCTGAGCCATTTCTACCTTCTCCTCTCTGTCAACGCTCTCTGGTT